AGTCAAAAAATAAATACACCTGAAAATTTTAAGAAGGTAATGTTGCCTTCTCTTCCTTTGGTTTCTCTTCATTCAAAAGTACTTAAGCCACCACCTCCCACCCCTCCCTCAAGCAGGCACAAGGATCCGGGCCCTAGTACCAAAAAAAAAAAAAAAAAGGGTTTTGATATAGAAAATTAGTCAAAAAATAAATACACCTGAAAATTTTAAGAAGGTAATGTTGCCTTCTCTTCCTTTGGTTTCTCTTCATTCAAAAGTACTTAAGCCACCACCACATAACTAAATGTCCCATTTTGTAATTCCCAGGCAGGAAGACAGTGATGACTCGGGGGCACATAATGAAAGCCACATTTGCAGCAGTCTTTTTCCCCCACGCTGCTTTCCAGCATCTAAAAACCTACTTTGCTACTTTGTTTCTTCTAAGAAACTAATGCCCATGTAGGACAACCCCAGTCCAGAAAGGCCTGCTCTAGGGTTAGGCAGATTGCAGCATGCAGTGCAATCTTGTGCACTGCCTAACCTCAAAAAGGAAAAGGATTCTCAGCTGAGGCCTAGAAATGTGCATTATTAAAGCAATCACAAAGGAAGAAAAATTACTGCATTTTACAAATCCTTCCAGATGCCCAGATTACTTCATCTTTCCAAAAATGTTATGGTTCCCATTAGTCCTGTAAAACCAGCATTATTTTTTTCTGGGCACTTCCCTGCTTTCTATTCCCTTCCTTTTATTTTCTCTTTTCTTTGACATTTAGGAGGTAGCCTACACTGAAATGAGACTTTTTCTACCTTATTCCCTGTTCTATCTTTTCCTGTCAGAAGAGAAAATGGCTTTCCTGACAGTTTTGATGGCTTTAAACAAACTGTTTTGTCCCTCGCTGAATTATTTTCAGAAATATTTATTACAAAAGTATGCACTCCAGCCTCATAAGAGCAATCACTCCAACCCTACTCACCCAACCCTCATCAACAACAGCTCTTGATCGGGGAATATTTAATATTATCTGCTCATTTGTAGGAATCTGCTGAAGCAGTGATTCTTTTTAAGTCTCCACAGTGAGGTATGTTAATTACTGTAGTAATGATAGAAGATTAAATTAAGGGACTAATGAGCTTAGTATGAAAAATACCAGGGCAAGCTGGCAAGCAGTGAGCCAACAAGAGGCTGCCGTGCCTGCCTGCAGAAGACGACACTTCTTCCAGGATCTGGTTGGCACTTATGATGGTTCAACAGGACACCACCATTGCTGACCAAGTCAGCACCAGCCGCCTTCCCTCACCAAGAGGGAAGAAGGAAGCTCTATGTGAGTAAGAACCAGAAAGAGAGTGAAGGAAGAAAAGATCCCAAGAGATTAACTATTCTTAAGGTATTGTAATTTCCTTTATATTACAACACCCCACGTTACATCATCAACTTTAAAACCTGTTCTGAATCCCCACTATACCTTTACAGCATGTGTAGTCACTCCAAAAAAGTTTTTCTTAATTAGTAGAAATAATGTTAATCTAAAATAATACGAATGACACTTATTTGAAATTTGAGTGATGTCCAATGAAGGGCCTTAGAGTGTGAATTTTAACTCTCACTTGAGAGATGTGTGATCTTCTAAAAATCTTTTTACTCTTTCCTCTGAACATGCTAATATACACACATATATACATATACATCTGACAATACCTGCCTCGGTGGGCTAATTAAATTGGTAATACATTGGAAAGTATATTAAAATCTGTAAAATTCCATTGAAGTATTAATTATAAATATTGTTATTATAAAATTAAGATAGACCACTTAGATAGTTCTTAGGAAGCCAAAGGTCTCTTTATATTCAACTTTGACAAACATATTAACAAACAAAAGTCTGAGGGCACTCCTCAGCCTCCAGTGCCTAGCATACAACAGGCACAAAATAAATATTTTTCAATAAATAGAAGGATTTCCCTCAAAACATTGAATCAACACAGGGTATTTTACATTCCTATGAAGGTGTGAGACTAATACAGATTTAGTCTGGAGACTAGCTGAAGGGGAAAAGAGAATTCTATGATTCTTCTAATTATTGTTTTTCCTCCACGAGGTTACAAGAGTCACAGCCTGACTTAGGTGAGATCGTGGTATTGCTTCAGTGAAACCTCAAGATGTCAAGGGAAGAAACTGCCTCTTACCTTCCAGTGGACAAGGGACCAGTTCTCCTTCCAGTCGTGCTTCGACATCTCCTCCACTGCAAGTGTCTCCAGAAATCTTCCGGTAGCTGTTGCCCAACCCCAAAGCAAGAGATCAGAAACATCAAAGGAAAGTCACACAGGTACCATAACAGGGAACATATCCCTACCAGGAGCAAGAGCTTCCACACACACATTTCCCTATAGAGCTAGGAGGAAGGTGTTAGTTCATTCTGAGTCAGTTCTGCTTATAATTAGACAAATCAAGTCCAGACAATTGAGCATCCCAGGCAACACTTTTAAATCTGAATCTGTCTCATCTCTAGACTCCTCTAAGACCTTTCCCTCCTGAGGAGTAGGACTTAAGATGTTCCTGGAGCTGCAGACTCTCACAGACTCCCACTTGTACTTGCTTCCCCACAGGGAATGAAGAGTTGCAGGCTTCATAGTTTTAACTGTTGCCCAACTGCGTGCAACCTGCTGATTTGGAATTCAGGATTTAGAATATGAAAGGAGTCCATGCGGTCCTGGGTGTCAAGGATGCTTAGGAGCAGCCTTGACAAAGCTATAATACGTACCCTCTTGTTCTCCTGTAAGTAGAACCCATGGGGCAAGGCACAGGCGGGGAATATGGCCTTCCAGAAAATTCCGGGTCTGGAACACATACTTCTAAGGACAAATCTTCACTCATCTTAAAGCCGAAGTCACTGAAAAGGGAATTCCAATTCATTCAGGCCAGTCTACTGCTCATTTCAGGCATTTCAATAGCAACCCTGTGACTTTTACTGTATTATTTATCACTTGTATTATAAGTTATTTAATATGCCCTTTTAAAAAAAATACTCACTTTTCTAGATAAAAATACATCAGTGAAAGAACATTTTGATCAGCACCTCCATTGGAAAACCACTAGGATACACCACAGACAAATATAAAACATCATGCCATTACCAGAATAATATCAGATTTTACCGAGCCCCAGCTCCCTGCCTAGTCTCTGGGCCTTGTCCCTCTTAGTTAAAATGCACTGGCAAATGGTAAATAAAGACTAGCTCTAGTGAAACTCTCTTGACATAATCAGGAGAATTGACAGAGAAATTTAAAAAGAACTTTTTAGAAGTTATTTTGACTAAAGATTCAATGTCACTTAAGAACCTGTTTATGTACTATCTACATCACTTAGAGTCCTCATTCTGTATTTTCGGATGTGGAACTTTGGTTTCACAGGACTTCCCATGATCTGGTGCATCACATGTCCCAACACTCCCAGCTCCATGGGAGTAGGAAGCATGAGGTCTTGAACAAATCTTGGCTCCACTTTTAACTGGAGGGCTTCTCTGGGCCACGTGTAATAACTTGAAAGCCAGGCAGCTGTACTAAATACTTTCCAGGGCTCCATCCAAACTGTCAAGTTTGTATTTCAAAAGAATTTTTCACATCCACGTGCACTACTTGAAAAGCTTCATGTACTTTACTCAATTCAACAATATTTATTAAACATTTCTTATATGAGAAGTGTGATAAGATACAGGGCAAATTGGTTTGTGTGTTTTATATAATCTGAACTTACCCATATGTAGAGGTTGTTCATAAGGCAGTTTTATTAGTGTATCAAAAAAGGACTCATTCAATCAGTGCATTTTTACTGAATGGCTAATTTAAATCTTTTCAGAGATTGGGTGAAATATTAGCTAATTATTTATTTGCCTCCATTAGTAAAGCACTCAATTCTTAGGCAGCTTTCTTGGACTGCAGGTCACACCCTGGTGAACTGTGAAATACTTTGAAGGGCCAAATCCAGCTACCTACTCTTCCCATAAGAATAGAAGATTACAAAGGCCTCACACACTTAAATGTAAATGTGGTCCCATAAAACTTCTATTTTAATTACATGTGCTTTTACGCCTACATAACACACAGCTACAGGGTCATAACATAAAATGTGTTGCTCACTAGGGGTCACAGCCAAGAATTTGAAAGCCACGTATCTTGGCAATGTGGAGAAATATAAAGATGTTTTTAAAAAAACACAAAAACTATCCCTGATATCAGGGAACATACCAGCCAAGAGTTGGGCTTCCTGGTATGGTCTGAAAAGACTATCAGATATAACTTGATTTTCAAATACAGTTGTCAAGTCATGCTAAACCAACAAATAGATATCTGTTGGCTCATTTTCATCTCATCTCTCGCTATCTCTCTTGGGACCACTGCCCTTCAGTGCCATAGCCCAATCTCATCAGACATTCCCAAGAGCCTTGCAGTCAGACTGGCTCCTTTCTAGTAGCCACTGCAAGCAGGAACAACTGAGGATAATCTGAAATCAGTACACCCTTTGCCATTTTCATGGTTCCATCATTGCCTGATCTCATATGATCTGCAGCCCAATCCACAAGGGGCGAAGCAGGCAGGTTTCTTGGTCCCTAATAAAGACTCAGCACACAGCAGAGATAAGCAGCCAGCAGATTCCAGCAGAGCAGATAGGACAGGCGTGGGAAACCTGCAGACGTGCAGCCAGCCTACCCAGGCAGGCATGCTAAGCGCCATTTGTTTTTATTTTGATTGGAGTAAGAGGGGTTGCAGAGGAAGAGGAAAATTTTAACATTTGTTATTTTATTAAAAAGCATAACAGCAATCATGAAAGAAGTAATCCAAGGATTTCTTGGATTTTTATGTATTTTTATTTAGTTTTAACACTATTTAACACTATTATCTACTTTGAAGTATGGTTCTCTGTCAGTGCTCTAGGGGAAGTTGGTTCCAAGACCCCTAGAGATACCAAATTCTGGGAATGATCAAGGGGCTGTGCTGTCACCTTGGCAGCACTCACCTTTAAGGGAATGCCTGTCCTGTACAGTCTAAGTCTTGCTGCTCATAGGGCAGATGTACAGATAAACAGCATCATATCCCTTAGGCACCTGGCAGAACTGCAGGCCCAGGAACTCCCTGAAGCAGAAAGCATTTTAACAAGACCCCAAGTGATCCACACTCACATTAAAGTTTCAGAAGCACTGGTCTAGACCAGAAGTAGTCAAAACCAGTTGGCTGTTTTAATAAAGTTTTACTGGACCGCAGCCATCCCCCTTCTGTGCAGCTGCTTTCACTCATTTGTGGGCACTACCACAGGCAAAGCTGAGTAGGTGCAACAGAGACCACAGAAGCCATATGATCTTCAGAGCTGAGAACATTTCTCTAAGATCCTGTCCCAACCTCTGGTCTAGACATACCAGAGGGTACTAGCTTTAGTAAGTGTATAGTCCCTTTGTCCCTCTGCAACCACTGAAATGTGCATTCTGTTTATGTTCAAAGCAAAGCTCTATCGACACCTCTGCCTAAGGTAAAACTGTTTCCTCCTGAATCATAGACTGGTGGGACTGTCAGGGAGCTCAGAAATCCTATGCACTCTACTGCTGGAATCATCTTCCTATAGCTAAGCTTTGTTCTGACCAATACTCCTCAGAAGTCTTCAAGGCCCCTCCTGCTTATAGAATTAATGCCCTTTAGGGCCTCCAATCCTACTGTGCCTGATCTTTTCAACCTCATTTCCACTCATTGCTCCTGCTTGCTACCTCCAAAAGGCATCCAAACTAAATTGCCAAAGCTCTCCTGCCTCCACACTACCACACTGCTGCTACCTGGTCTTGAAATCCCCTGTCCACGTATCCTGATGCTTCTGTAAAGTCCATCTCAAACAGGACTTCCTCTAAAACTTCCCTGCTCCACCAACTGCAACTCACAGCCTTTACCTTCTTTTCAGTAATCGCAGTAAAAGCACCTGTTCTTCCCGTAAGGTACCTGCCCCTTTCCATCTCCTGCCATAGTTATTTAGGCACAAGTCATTTCTACTCTTAGCATTTCCAACAGTGCCTTGGATATTTTGCTAAAATAGTAAGTTATGAGGAAGAAGTACACAAACACACACGCACACACACCTTCATTTCAGAGAAAGAAATAAGTCTTTCTAGGATATGGGTCCTATGAAAAATTGTTACCTACAGTGGAACCTTCAGCACTCTCCTTTTTCAGGTCACCCTCCTAGAAGTAAATCCCAGAGCTTTTATCCCTGAATAAACGACTAGCTTCCCTGGGTCACAGCACCCCAACTGCTTCATACAGCTGTAAGAACTAGAGGGCAACTTTTGAAAACATATTTCCTGCAACATAAAAGATACTTTTAAAATGTTTATTCCCTTCTATTCCTTTCCCTTTAACAGGGGAAAGGGCCATGCACTTGTCTCTTTCCCCAACACTGCTGAGGGAATATAATGCAACTTGATCCCCCAGCGGTGCGAGAAGCACCAACCATTCATAGTCTTCCCGGGTGCAGGAGCAGTTGGACACGACCACTGGCCTATCAAAGTCTTCTCCATTAAAGCAGGTTGCGTGGGGGGTCCTCCGTTTGAAGACAGTCTTGTGTCCGAGCAAACACTCATTGCCCCGCTCATCAGAAGGTGACCATAGCTTGTAGTCGTTCTCTGTGCAGGGAACCCCTGAGGACAAACCAAGTTAATGCGAAGCATCAGAGCCAGACCCATGCATGGCTTCCTGCCTCACTTGCCCCATCAGCTTAGTGTCCCACTTCCTATGCATATTGCTGCCACCCAGCAAGCACACAGAGCTCAGGAGCTGTCCCATGCTCTAACTGACTCGAGCTGAAGCTGGTAGCACTCACAAGAATAAAGATGATGCCACATGAGACACAAATGTTCATCCCAGAAAGCTGGGAAGAAATAAGCCACTTTTTAGCACCATCCAAACTTCTAAATTATTTTAAGAGAGTTAACAGTTCCCTTTATGTAACCAGGGGTGTTTCTTTCCTAGGGAAGTAGGGACAGGTAAATCCTTGACAGGTGATATCATTCAGGACTATTATTCCCTGCTTGCTTCCTCAGTAGTTTGGACACATCTGGTAGGACAGCTGAGCACACTGGAGAATTCACTTGCCTTTTGGGGAGGTGCAGGATCTTTGTGGAAAGAGGATGAGAAATAGCAAGACAACTTGTATTCACCCTACTGCCCCACATTAATTTCAAATATCAGTAGAGTACTTTCTATGAATCCCAGATATACCTGTGTCTGTCTTGGTACCTGTGTCTTTTAAATATGTCTTCAGTGAGATTAAACACTATTTGAAGCTGTTACAGCACTGTCAATTCAACACTATTCAAACTGGTAAAGACTTATTAAACCCTGATGTGAGACAATCAGGCTATTCAGCAGATAGAACATAAGCTTGCACAGGACTTATTCTTGTTTTTAGGGGTCTTATAATCTAGTTAAAGGAAGATGACACACACAGAGTAACAAACACAAATTATAACCCAAAGAGTAATGAATATGCTTATTTCTGGGCATAGAAAAGACAGGCAATGTCATCTGGTTGAGATGTCGGAGACAAGTGTGTTGGATCTGGAAATGTAAACAGGATTGCAAATAATGGAGGCAGAATGGCTGGAGACAAGAAAGGTCAGGTGAAGTTCTGGGCAGCTGGAAATATGATGTCCCAGGCAGATTAGTAGGAAAAGGGTAGGAGAACATAAGGAGGTTCAGAGGGCCTGCTGAAGAGTTTCACTTCTCCCTGTTTACTTACATGTCCCATGTCTAGACTAGCAAATTGTGACTGGACTCCAGACAGTTCTGAGAGGACCCTGGATCACTGGACACAATGAATGCCTTACAGATAGTAAGTCCTTGCTGTAGTTTGATATGCCATATTCCCCAAAGGGCCAGTATTGAAGGCTTGGTCACCATCCTCTGTTGCTATTGGGAGGAGGTGGGGGTGGAGCCTAGTGAGAGGAAGTCAGGTCACTGGGGAACCTTAGTGAGACCCCAGACCTCTCTCTTTAATTCCAACTCTCTCTTTGATTCCAAGCAGCCATGGGGTAAGCAGGCTTCCTCCACCACAGCTCCCACCATGCTGTTCTGTACTTTGTGTGGACTGAAATCATGAGCCAAAATCAATCTTTCCTCCTTTTATAAACGGATTTTTCTCAGGCATTTTGTCAAACAGACAGAAAGCTGACTAACATAAACATACTCATTGAATATGTCCCCTTGGGATTGCTGATTTGAAAAAGTGTTCATTAGCTCATTCAGTCATTCATTCAATAATTCACATATGGTGCTTGCTTCGGCAGTACATATACTAAAATAATTCACATATGTGTCAGCCATAGATTTAGACCTGTTGTGTGCCAGGGGACTACACAAGGACACTAGGATGCAAAGAATAATGCACACACCTACAATAAGAACCAAGTAGACCTTCACTGCTGCTGTGTCACAGCTAACTTGCAAAGAATCACAAACTCTCCTGGGGATGTACCAGAGGTCAATCAGTATCTGTGGAAAGGGCCAAAGGGGCATTGGCTTACCCAAGGCATCAGTGGCATTGACCTGGAGGATGAGCCAGCTGTGGACATTTTCCTTGTTGGATCCAAAAATGGTGAAGACAGTGCTCTTCTCCCCGGGCTCTGTGAGGAGCCCATACACAAACACAGGCTTCTCAGAGAAAATGTATGTCTTCCACGTCTCCCCTTCATTGGTACTGTATCTGCGCAATGCAAAAAAAACGAAACCTTGTAGTTATAGTCCCGGCTATAGCAGGGCAATCTATAGCTGTATCAGAAATCAAGGAAGCTTCGGAGACTAATGTAGTCACCTCAGATGGACACAGGAGCCAAATGATGGGACTCCAAATGGCCACATTTAGGAAAATTGTAACTTTTTATAAAAAAAAGAAAAATGGTAGTGATAGATTACACACTGGGTGAAAATAGCACATCGATCTCTACTAATACAAGGGAGATAAGCAAAGGAGGGAAAAGTTTTTTTCTTACTTTGGAATGCCACCTAGTAAATATTAAAAAACAATAACAGAATGAGAAAAATTATCATTCTGCAACGCTCACTGTAACAATCAAATAAGAAAAGGATCTTCACTGGATGCTAAAACTACTAGTTGAAAGTTTTGGAGACCAAGATGTTCACACGGCCTGAAGATATCAACTCCTAGATAAATCATTCCTTACACAGAGGGAAATGTAATTTTACAATAGATGATGAGTCACAAACTTAACCAAATTTAGCATCACCAATAGTCAGGCAATCTGAAATTATGTGCCTGGTGAGTAAAGTATCAAAATAAGACATCATCTAACCACTTCACACAAGCAGACAAATCTAAAACGTGGACATTCAACATGATGACTGCTATAGATCTTTCCAAAATAAGTCAAGGCCATGGAAACTGAGCAAACAAAACAGGCAGAGGGCTTGTTACAGATTAAAAGAGAACAAAGAGGTAAATAACCAAATGCAATGCAGAAATCAATCCAGGATATAGCCCTAGATTGACTGAACCCTGGATTAGAGGAAAATACTTTAAAACATATGCATCAACAGCAAAGGAGATAACTGAGAAAATATAACTACAGCCTATAAGTAATAAGGAGCTCATCTTAGTTTTCTTAGGTTTGGTACTAGCATTGTGACTAAATAGGAAAATGCTCTTACTGGAGATACATGTTTAAGTACATAATGGTGAAGGAATATGAGTTTGCAACCTTGTTTCAAATGACTCAGGCTCAAAAACGATGAACAGATAAACTCAATTAGATAAATGTCTAGATAGGAGAAGTAAAGCAAATTAACTAAATATTGACAGCGACTGGAGGGGAAGATTACACAGCTGTTTCTTTACACAGTCCTTCCAACTTCTCTGTGACCTGAGAAATTCAAAGGTTGAAGGAAAAAAAAAGTGTGTCGGGGAGACTATATCAGATCCAGAAAGCAAGCCCTTGGAGGAAAATGTAGCACTTAAGCAACTGTACTAATTTTAAATCATCTGTTGTGTAGAAGGGAGAGGGTAGAGGAGAAGGGAGGGGCCACAAGAAAATCTGCCTGATACTTGCTTTATCATCCAGTGAGCTGTGAGTTGCTCTACACAAGAAACCTCCCAGTTGGAGCTTTCTTTAGAGCCACAGAGCTATGGGGCTCTCTTAATTCCTAATTAAATACAAACCTTTTTCCTTCACTTATCCCATTTTTTGAGATTTTAGTTTTATTCCCTCAGGACTCTGATACTGGAAACAAATCTTTTCACAACCTTACCCAATCCAAACACTTTCCCTGATACTGAGATTTCTTAAACTGACAATTCTTTTAAAAGCTACAGGTTAAATCAAGTGGTGGGGCTGCATAGCAACATAATGAATGTCAATGGAAGACTAAGTGAACTCCTCCACATATCTTGTAAGAGGGGAAGTTCTTATCTGGCTGATGGCTTTTTTGGTTTAAGTGAATTTGAAAGCAGATTTAAGTGAATTTTGGAATTTGGATGAGTTAACTAGTTTAATCTCCTTGTACCAATGTGATGAGGTAAAGACATAGCTAGGGCCACTTGTAAAGCAAACTGCAGAGTTGAGTTGGCTTATTAATCATACATGATGGGAGTAATTTACCCACTCTGTGATAATGTTGGTAGTTCATCTATTCATACACTGCAAAGTTAATTTCTTTTAAGAGCTCCTCCAACCAAAGATAACCTCAGGAAATGAATCATCTCATTTCTTGAAAAAGTCCCAGAGGACTACGACAGTAACATGAATGAGACCAACCAACAGGTGCATGGCCAAGCACAAGCTTGTATCTGAGAATAAACTGCTCTTTTAGAAAACAGGCTGGTTTCCTTTTTCTAGAATTTTGGGGGAAGAGTAGTGACATCACTAGCTGCAATGGTTAAGGAAACATCTATTATGGACTGGGTTCTGATTTGTAAAGAAGAACTTGTGTGGGTGAAATGAAAGTGGCAAGAATCTCAAAAGAGAACAAACCAACTCAAGGAGATACATACAGGGACATAGTCCTTAGCAATAGAGAATTCAAATTGTTTAGTTAAAAATATAGACAAAAAATTCCATGGCCAAAAACTCAAGAGAATAGAAGCTTGGACAATAGTAGTATAAAATAATTAAAACATAGCCACAGATACTTTTAAAGGGGATAGCCATGGTAGGCACCTAATTTATGATGGTATCCTGTGGCTACACAAAAACATCGTTGATAATCTTAGATTTATAAAGAACATGCTCAAGATAGAAAAAGTCATATAAACAAGGGCAAAAAAATTAAAGAACAGCAATCACCTGCCAGCTCATTCTAGCTATAATTTTTATAGCTAGGAATCTGTTAGACGAGTAGCCAGATAACTCAGGTTCAAGAAGAGTCAAGGATTATGTTTCAAATTACTAAAAGAACCGGTAGATCGGTGGGTCAATAGGCTGGTGGGCTGGTTAAGTAATAAGTCTTGCAAAGAATTAGAAAAGAATAGGACCACTGTTCTGATGGCCAATGGTCTAAACAATGATAGGAAAAAAAATAATTTCTATTTGATTTTTATCTTTGTGACAAACAATATCTTCAAACTGGACAAGCACAAAAATAAAGGAGAGAGTTAAAGGAAAATGAGTATAAAATAAATTCCAGAGAACAGAAAGATGTAAAGATAGAATAATTACAGAGCCCTTCTTTTGGGTGAAGGGCAGTACTGGGGATTGAATCCAGGGCCTTTCCATTGAGCTACATACACAGCCCTTTATTTATTTTGTTTTTTTGTTTTGTTTTATTTGAGATATTGTCATGCTAAATTGCCTAGGCTGTCCAGGCTGGGCTCAAACTTGCAATCCTCCTGCCTCAGTCACCCAAAGTGCTGGGAGTAGAGGCCTACACCGTGATGCCAGGCTCACAGTTCCTTTTAATAACCTCTAGGGTAGTCTTGAATTACAAAGATCTCAAAGTCTAGAGGAGGAAAATTGGTTTTATTTACCTAAGAAGAAAAGGTGGTTTTGAGAAGGGACTGAAACAGGTGATTTGAGAGCTCTTAGGAATACTGTAAAAGAAAGTGAATGCTGGGAACACAAATGGTGTCATACACAAGTCACAACAAACTAATCCCACTTCCTTTTCTCCTAGTTAATTCTCGAAAAACAGGATAATGATAACATTATTTTCTTATGAAAATCTTTGCAGACCACACTGGTAGGTAACAGTCATTCATTAACTGCTAGTAAAACAAACAAATGTTAAGGGGGCCAATACATTGTTTGATCTCAACCCAAAATAAGACTTCTACTTCTCAAAGTGCTCAACACATCTGTCAGGATCTGGACAGCAATCTGCAAGGTAAATTTACCACACTTGCAAAGGTATAAGGCTAAACGTACAGATAATATAATAAATGCCAAAAATGGAATTCAAAATGGTACCATACATCAAAAGAATAAGCAAAAATTAAAATAAAAATAAAACTTCCATGTGTAGTTTCAAAGAATTACCTGCTCAAATATAAGATAGGAAAACATCTGACCTTTAATAAGATCCACAAGAAAAAAGAACCTCTGATATTTTAAGTTGACTTGAACTCAGCCTTTTGATTTAAGTTACAAGATGGAGAAAGCTCAAAAAAATTACACTGAGTAAAAGAAGCCAAAGGCAAAAAATAAATAAATCAACATACAAAACTGTGAAATAGGCAAAATTAGCCTACAGTGATGAAAATAAAATCAGACCAAAGTTGCCTCTACTGTGTGGAAAGATGGGGGTGAGTAGCACTGACAAAGAAGGTACACACAGGTATTTTCTGGGGTGACAGCAATACTCTACATCTTGACATGCATCCTTCAGAACTAATTAAATGGTGTACTTAAGATCTGAGCATCTTGTGGCATGTAAATGACATCTCAGTTTTTAAAACAATATAATTGAAGTCACAAGTTTGAGGTTACTGTCAAAAATGAAAACGCAGGGGCCTGGGGATATAGCTCAATGGTAGAGCATTTAGCATGCAGCAGACTCTGGGTTCAATCCCCAAGCAATATAGGAAGAAAAAAGGAAATGTAGCCTTAGGTTTGTATTAAATAGAAATAGAATCATGTAGGTCATCTTCTGCATACTTCAGGTTATTGGAGTCAGATCTGGGATCTACATTTTTAAGGCATCAAATCATGAGGCAGACCTGTGGCAGAACCTAGAAGGTGGAGATTCAGGGTCTTACGGCACACAAGGAAAGGAACTGGGGACATTTTCACTGGAAATGGTAGATGCGCAGAAGGACAAGGATGGAGTTCTCTAATGTCTGAAAGGCTTTCTGACAAGAGGAAATATCTGCTATCTGTTTCCAGGGAGCAGAATTAAGCCCACTGAATAGAAATTGTAGTACAGAAAATTTGGGATCTCTCTTACCAGAAAAGTTTCACTCATAAATGAAGGAATGAACAAACTAACAAACTATTTCAAAGCAAAATAGAATTGCCCATTACTAGAATTGTTCAAGCAAGACTGGGATGATACTCATCACAGGTGGCAGAAGACTGAACCAGATGACATCATACATCCAGGTCACTGTTATTAGACATCTGCCCTGGCCAAGTGGCAGCTACTTCAATCCAACTTGTCCAAATCTGCCTTCATGACATGGCCCTGCATGCCTCCTCGTTTCCCTGTTTTGCTATGAGTGGTACAGTCACCAGTCCTGCTGCCACAGGTCAGTGAGAA